TAGCCAAGGTAAATGGCTGAACCTGCAGTGAAGTTAATGGGATTATATCAGTGTTTCTCAACCTTTTTCTAGAAGTACCACTTTAAAAAAGTATTCCCAGTACCTAGTTTTCAGACACAAAATCTTTTTCTACTATGGAACACATTTGTTTAAACAAAAGCAGGTGATGAAATTTTTGGGTGTAGAAAGGACAAAAATAATAAAGCGCTGTAAAGCTTAAAACAAAAATTCAGATTTCTCCAAATTTCAGTTGTGTTGGCGTACCCCCCAGACTTCTCTCAAGTACCCCTAAGGGTACTTGTACCCCTGGTTGAGAAGCATTGGGCTACATCAATTTACTCCAATTGAGGATCTGGCTTTGTATCTCTCTTTGCAATCCATAGTGATATTTAAGAGCTGATTCTGTCCATTACTTGGTAACCTGATTCTCCAGCAAAAGTAACCATTTAGGGTGTGTCTAGAGTACATGGCTCTGTCGACGGAGCCATGTAAAGTAGTTTACTTGACATACTCAATGAAGCGGGGATTTAAATAATCCCCGCTTCATTAAAATAAAAATGGCTGCCGTGCTGTGCCGACAATCAGCTGATCCGGCACAGTGCAGCAGTCTAGATGCGGATCGGTTGACAAGGGAAGCCTTTGTCGACCGTTTCCTTATGCCTCGTGAAATGAGGTTTACAGGAAGTACGCTGGCTGCTCACCTCCTAGAGCTCTGTGGCGTGCTGGGCGCGCTGTGGGAGGGGATGTCAGCTCTGGAGGAGGAGTGCAGCATGGAGTGAGTCGAGCGAAGGGTTTGGCCCCGGGGCAGGGTTTGGATGCGCTGCAGGAGGGGGGTTTGGCCCCGGGACAGGCACCCGCGGGGGTTTGACTGTGATGCAGGAGGAGGGTTTGGCCCCGGGACAGGCATGCACAGGGGGGTTTGGCTGCGCTGTGGGAGGCACGCTCCAGCCCTGGAGGGGGCACGCACCGTTTTCCCTCTGGGGAGGGGAGGTGGGAGAATCTTGGGAGGAGGTGGGTGCAGGGGCGTTTCTGTCCCCACTGCCCCCTTGTTCCCTCTCCTCAGCCCCCTCTCCCCACCCTCAGAAACCTGTCCCCACTGGCACCCTGTCCTCTGCCCTCCCGGCACCCTGTTCCCTCTCCCCACTCCCCAGCCTCAGAAACCTGTTCCCTGTCCCCTGCCCTCCCAGCACCCTGTTCCCTCTCCTCACTCCCCACTCCCCAGCCTCAGAAACCTGTTCCCACTGGCACCCTGTCCCCTGCCCTCCCAGCACCCTGTCCCCTCTCCTGTCCCCAGCTGCAGAGCTCTGTCCCCACTGGCACCCTGTCCCCTGCCGAAGCACCCACTAGCACCCTTCCCCAGCATTATGTCCCCTGCTCCCACCAACACAGTTGGGGCCACAACAGTGAAACCTGCCCTGAGCCCCTCACATACCCCAACCTAAATGCCTGAACCCTCACATCCAGAAGTCTGTGGCTTACTTAGTACCCTAACCCTACATCTGACCCCAACACTGCCCGGCCTGGAGCCCCCTCCCCGAGCCAGTGTTCCCTTATCCACCTTCTCCTGCATCCAGATTTCCTCCCAGAGCTTGCACCTCTCACCCCTTCCCGCACCCAAATCCTTCATTCCCACCCCAGAGCCTACCCATCCTTTCTCAACACCGGGAAGGGTACAGCTAGACTGCAGGAGTTTTTCAGGATTTCGGAGATATCCCAGAAAACTCTTCTGCTTCTAGGGATGCATTTGTTCTTCCAATTCTTTTAGTGGAAGAGCAAACATGATCTTTCGGTCAACCCTATATTACTCTTTCCACAAGGAATAAGGGGGCTTCCAAAAGAAGGGGTTTTTCTGACATTTGGTCCAGTCTAGACAGGCCAAATGTTGGAAAAACTTCTTCCTACAGAAGAATTGGGGAAAAAAGCAGCAGTATAAGGGTTGGGGATAGCAAGTGACAGAGAGGAGGAGAGGGGCTTCAAGGAAGGGGCGGGGCTTCAAGGAAGCGGTGGGGCGGGGTGGTAGATCTTGTCTTGTTCTGTCATTTAAAAAGTGATCTTGGGTGTAAAAAGGTCGGAGATCCACTGACTTAAGGTCTGCAACTCCAGCTACATAGAATACGTAGCTGGAGTCGGTTTACTTTAAGCCGAGCTTGGCAGCATCCCCATAGGGGAGGCCAAAAGGAGCCAACAATCCTGTTGGCTTTCCTTACTCCTGGTAAGAGCAGGAGTACCAGATGCTGGCTGGGGTGCCCTCTGAGTTCGATTTAGTGAGACTTAACTAGACTCGCTAAATCAAACACCAGAAGATAGATTGCGGCAGTGGCAATCCTCCGCGGAGTGAAGATGTGTGAAGATGTGACCTGCATCACACAGGGCACAGAATTTTTCACAGCACTTTGTTATAAGTTTTAAGTGTAGACCAAGCCTAAAGACAACAGTCATACTAGGAGGACCAATAGGGAACCGCCTTTAGAGTGAACCCATTAAGGCTTTGCTGAACATAGGGAAGAAGACCTTTTTCACATGGCTTGGGAGGTTTCATTTTGAGATCGCTCTCTGCATTTGTGGCCAAGAATTGACATTGGTTAATGTCCAAAAAAACAAAACCAACCAACCAACAAAAAAACCAGGGCTTTGGGCATTGACACAGGGATTTGAAGAGTCCTAATGCAAGGTTAGAGCTTCTCCCTGCTCCCATTGAAGTCTAGTGGCCATAAGCTGTATCAAAGTAATGCACGTTTATATTCTACATATGGCTTGATTTAGAGACTCAATTAAGAGGGAGCATTAAAGAGATGGTTAGAAGGAGGGAGGGGGAAACAGGATCTGTACGAGGAGCCAATTACTCATTTTAATAATTCAGTGGTTTTTACACTAATAGTCTAGAAAGTAAATACCACTTCACATAAATGTGGTATTTCATTATTTATACACTGTTGAAATTGAGGCTTAATTATGACTAAAGACTTCTAAACCATTAATGCAACATGTTGCTTTGTGCAGTCTGTAAAATACTGGTGGTCTAAACTATAAGCAGATTATTCTGCAGTACTGGACAACAGCTCTCATGCTAGGTCATTATGACTATTATGTTAGTTTCTAGAAAGAGAGATTAATTAATTGCCATTTCTCTTTGTTATTTATTTAAGCCTACATTTTGTTTTGTTGGGAATATTAGCAATACTGATTAGTTGTGTGCAGGTCAGTTTGTTTCTATTGAGCTGGGACCAGACTAGGAAAGGAATTATTCCCTCCCTTCAACCATATATCACCTTTTCCTTTTGAACAACCACCCGGTGATACCTGTGATACTTATGGTATTTTTTTCTGTCAGCATGCAAATAGGACAAACCAACAGGAATACATTCTAGAAAGGGCTTTATTTCTGTACTAATAAAGACAAAAATTAAGGTCAGAGTTTTCAAACATGACGAGCCATTTTTGTGTGGCCAATTTGAGGTGCCTTACAAGCACTATATCAGAGTTGGGTACTTTGTTATAAAAGGGTCTGGTTTTTCAGAAAGTGTTGGAAACTCATTCTGTAAATACCAGACCCGTTGAAACTAAAGTGTCTCAAGTAGCGCAGCCAGAAATTTGAAGCATCTGAAATTACTATAGCTTGAACCTCTCTAATCCGGCAATATCTGTGGTCCGGCATGATTTTACTTAGTTGGATGTCCACTTATCATGGGTCTGGCCAAGTTTCTCATGGTCCCATAAAGTTTACTTACAGCCACCAGTCTTGGCTCTCAGTGTTCTGTGCTGTTATTTAGCTCTAATTTACTCCAAATGTCTTCTAAGAGCCCAGTAAGTAGTGAAAGCATTGGTAACGGAGCTAGATAATATCGTTTGGCTCCTATGGTTTGGCAAATTCTCTGGTTTGGCACTGGGCAGGTCTAGGGATATAATAGTGTAGTCGATTAACCAATAAGTAAAGCTTATAAGTTAATGCTATAGACTACACACGTTTCCTTTTCTTCCCCCACCAGCAAATTTTTTAGCAGGCTGGCCAGAAGCCCAGCTCAGTCCTGGCTTGCAACAATTCCAGGACCTCCCCCTGCTGTGGCTCTACATTTTAAGTGTATTAGGAGCCAGGCGGGCAAGCAACCCAACTCAGTTCTGGCTTGTGCCGGGTCCGGGAACTCAGAGGCAACAGGCAGCCAGTCTGTGAGGGGAGCTATTTTTTAAACTGGCTCCTCCTTATGTACCAGCTCCTGTCTGGCACCCCATGCTGCTGCCTTTGATACAGAGGCAGCAGCGCAGAGTTGCAGGGGACTCCTTAGGAGTGGGGTCTGAGCACACTGGCTGCCGGCCCCACCCCCCAGGACTATAGAATAGTCAACTAATTGATAAGAATTCATGAAGTTACTCGACGAGTCAGTTAATTGATATTTAACATCTCTAGTTGGGTCCCAAGGCTGCTAGACTAGAGAGGTTCAACCTGTAGTCACTTTTTAAATGGAGGTAATGGGCCCATCCCTTTTCTGACTGAAGTTAGTGACCCAGGATACAATGGGAATAAGATGAGGCATAATATGATGATTATAAAGGGTGCCTGAAAATGCCTTTTACCTGTCAATTTTGGATCTGTATGTTCCCCTTTTATGTACTAGTCAAACGTTCTACTGCAACTAAAAAAAAAACAAAAAAATCTGGATGTGAAAGACACTCTACTCATAGACATAATGGACTTGATGGAGGTGGCCAGACTAGATCCATGGCAACCTGCAGCCGAGGAGAGTCCTTTGTGTGGCCCACAGGACATTTTGTTTACTGTTGCCCATACACAGGGTTGCCAGATTCTGCTCGTTTCTGTTCAGGTAGTTTTTTTTCCTGCCGATATTATTAAAGTGACAAACGCACAAAGCAAAGGCACGTGAAGTGAGGTGCATGCTGATTGCACACAACGTTGACTGTGAATCGTGCTCCCTGTGCAGCTAATCCAAGTGTTGCTGTAGTTTGTGCCGTGAACAGATACGGATTTTGTACCTGCTTTTGCAAAAATGATCCGCAGGTATCTGCAGACGTGGATACCCGCAGATATAGAGCGGATGTCTGGGGATTTGCAGGGCTGTCGCTATGGTTCAGTTGGCACATACTGCAAACCTAGGTACCTGTACCGAGTGCAGTTAGCAAAACTACCCTATCCTCAAAGACCATCTTGGTTATGACAATCGTGTGGCCCACTGAGATGGAGGAGGGCCACTCATGCGGCCTACTCGCTAACCTAGGTTGCCCATCACTGGACTAGATGATGAATTGTTCCTGTTCGTCTGTAAAGTCACTGAATCTAGAATAAAAACCTCACTCTTCAAAAGCCAAAAGTGTGCTATTAATTCAGTTTAACTTGAATGTATAGAGCTAGACATGAATGCAGACAGGAAGAGCCATCCAATCTTTTATAGCTAAAGAGACAGAAAATAACATATTTCTTCACGTTCTAATCTGATAGCATTTTTGACTGGAACCAGTGGTTCATGTTCAACATCCTGTTAACATTACTCTTGTAAATCCACCTCCAGGTAGATGTACAAAAAGCTTCCTCCATTCTCACTTCAGTGGAGTCTTTTTAATTTATATTTTATTTTGATACACATACACTTACTTTTTCAGAAGGCCTGGTGAACAGAAACACTTGAAAGATGTCCCATCTCTGCAATGGATGCACCTGGCAGTGGTGGCATGTGGTGACCGCCTGGAAGAGACCCTTATCATGCTGAAATCAGCAGTTCTGTTTAGCTACAGGAAGCTCAAGTTTCACATCTTTGCTGAAGATTCCTTGAAGCCTGAATTTGAGAAAAAGGTGAGTCTGCTTCTGTTTCATTTTTAAAAGTTAAAATGCAACGATTGTAGCCTGCATATCTCTGATAACAAATACGTGGCTACCAACAAGTTAATTAGTCAATAGCAAAGAGCTTTTTCGCTAAACTTGGTCTTTATAAGCTTATCTTTTTAAAAATTGTGTGATTATTTAATAGTGTTGCAGAAAACAATGTGTCTGAATTTTAATCCTTCCCCCCCCATGTTTTTCAGTTAAGGGAATGGCCTCCCGCGTACACAAAGAAGTTTGACTACCAAGTCTACCCAATTGCCTTTTCAGTAGGAAATGCTCAGGAATGGAAAAAATTATTCAAGCCTTGTGCTGCCCAGCGCCTCTTTCTTCCGGTAAGGCACCTGGATTTCTGAATATGCAGCTTCAGGACAAGGCCTGCTGTGCCAGTAGGAGATTGGAAACATGTTCCCAGATGTAATTTCCTTTCTAGGACATCTTTATCTGTTCCTTTATCCACTTAAAAAACAATCTGAGCATTCCTCCCCCTGGCAAAGAGTGCATGCTGCTTGTCGGATGCCAGCTCCTTTTGTGTGTCAGTGCTGTTTGGCTATAGTACTGCACACTTTCCAAATGTCACACTCCTTTAAAGATCCAGTCTGCAGTCCCCTTTTTCTTATTCCTAGGGGCCCCCTTTGAATGGAGGGCGGATGATTTTAGGACTCCTCCTCCCTTGGAAACCCATTCTGTACCCAGGAGGCATTTCTCTCAGGGCTGTTCCTAGCAAATGCAATTCCGCAGCTCAGAAAAATGTGATGCCATGTGAGACTCAAAATTGTGGCATGTAAAAAGCCCATCTGTTAGCTCCTCCAGTGTCTGTGCATGGCGCATTGGCACCCTCGTGCTTCACTGGTACTGCCAACCGTTCTGTTTGGTAAATAACAGTTAGGAGGGAGGCTTACAAAGGTGCCTGATTCCCATGGAAAGTCAGTGACAGACCGGAGGGAATGGTGGGGCTAGAGGCAGACAGAGCTGGGGGCCTCAGTGAAGGGTGTACAGACGAGGTGTGCAGGCCAGCCATGCTAGTAGCGGTAGCGCGACTTTCCTATGCTGCCCACTGCACAGATGCAGAGCTTGCCTTCTCATAGATAGAGCTTTGACTTTGTACGAGTCCCGCAGCTAAACCCCACCACACACCAGGAAAATGGACCCTGAGCTCAGGGGTGGCGCGCCTAAGACCTGGGGGCCGGTTGTGATCCCAGGCTTGCTTGGATCCAGCCCCTGAGGCTCAGGGCAGTTCCCCAGCACTGGGGAGCCCATGCTGGAGTTCCAGCCCTTCCTCTGCTCCCCTTCTCCCCCCGGTGGGGCTGGAGAACACAACATCTACTAGCCTGGGCTCCACTAGGCTCTGGTGTATGAGCGGAATGTGGGGAGCATCTTTCTGCTTCTCAGTCGGGGGCCACATCAGTGCGTCTGTGTGTTGTTTTGTTTTTGCTACTCACTTGTATGTGACCCCCGACAGATTTTTTTCCTGTGGTTCAGCGGCCCTCGACCCCACCCCTGCTTTAACTTAGTTCATGGAACAGCACTTTCGTTCTGAGCATAACTCAATTTAAGAAGAGCCTTGCTGTAAATGTGCCTGATCCTCCGATTCCTTGCACTTCTGTAATGCCACCTGGATTGAGGCTTGTTGGGCACAGAGACTGCTCATTGACTACTGGTCCTTGTACGTCCTTCTGGTGATGGACAAAGGTCAGGTGTCCATGTTGATGCTATTAGGGCTGTCAGCAGCGTTCACCTGCTTCTGCTACAAGGTGATTGTGGAACCTGCATGCCCTGCCAGGGACAGGGGGAGTTGTTCTCGAGTAGTTGTGTTCTTTGAGAAGATGGAGAGGGGAGTATTGGACAACTATTGTTAGCTCCAAGGGCTGGCTTGTGTAGGGTGCCCTGAGGTGCTGTCATGATTGCTGTACAGAGGAGGCGAGATGATTGAGTGCCCTGCCTCCGGTGTCTCTTTCCTCAGAGCAAATCAGTTTGGTTTTTCAGCTTTGCTTGTGTCTGGCTGAAACTGGGGCTTGGATGAGAGCGAGGTGGCTGAGCACCATTGGGACTGAAGCTAAGGTGATGATGGTGAACTTGGGGGAAAAGAAGTGGTGGAAATAGCTGGGATGGTGAGCGACCCTTCGGTTGAGGGAGCACACTTACCTATTGTTACTCTCGCTATCTGGAGTCTTACTGGACCCTGAGCTCTTTCTGGGTAACCAGGGTGGTAGTTAAAGCTTTCTTCCTATATGCTCAGCTACAGGGTTCCAGCCCTTCCTTGTGAGTACCCTTTCCTAACTTTGTCCCTTGGTGCTGAATCACTGCAGCACATGCTCTGTTTGCCCATACGAAAACTGGCTGAGACAATTCAGCTAGTGCAGAAAGCAAATATTTCACTGAAGAATATTGCACCTGTGATACAGAGGTTACACCAGCTCCTAGTTTGTGTCATTGCGGAGTTCAAGGTGTTTGCTTTACACCCAGGAAGCTCCTCCTGGTTTGTCCCTTGACTGTCTAAGGCCATGTCTTCTCTTGCTGCGCTGGAGATCAGTCTTCTGGTGTTCAGTTTAGCAGGTCTAGTTAAGATGGCTTGGAAAGGCGCATGTGTCTAAGGGACAGGGACCATGTGTTTGTACCGCATCTAACACAGCCAGGGCCTTGTCCAGGACAAGGACTGCTATGGGAAATAATAACAACTACAAGCACCTGCTTTTCTAATGAGCAAGACGCTGCTGAGATGGAGCCCTGTTTGTGTGAGCAATTTACAGACATCTGAGTGAAAACATAAGATGTGTCTTGGATACACAGAGGCTATATCCCATCCCAAGAGCTGGGGTGGTCCTTTCTAGTTGCTGCATGGAGCTGCCAGAAACACTAAAAATATACAGAGCATTTAAGGAAGATTTTCGTCTTAACAATAGCTACATTTCTACAGAATCTTGCATCCCAAATTCTCCCAGTACTTCACACAAATAAACCTGTGAGGTAGATTAGTATCATCTCCGTTTCACAGGTAACTAATCTGAGTCTGTTGAATGGCCATGTAGTGGGATCAGGAGCAGAACTGACAATAGACTCTAGGGCAGGGGTCTGCAGCCTGTGGCTCTTGAGCCAGATATGGCTCTGTATGGAACCAAATATGGTTCTTTTGTCATTCCCAAAATGCCTGCAACTTTTTAAATTAAAATGAAAAAATAATTCAAAATTTTAAAAATGCGTAATTACTCATGTCCTTTGAATGTGTGCATGAGCCTGAATTTGACCAGTGATGATGTAAGCGTCAAAGAAATGTATGAAAGATGCAGCAGCAGAAGTCCCATTAAACTGAGTGTGTGACAACAGTGTTTCATTGATGCTGTTGTTAATCATCCTGTCAATTATCAATAATATTAAGTTGCATATTTTCAGTCATGCAAATGGGCATTCTGATACTGGCTCTTTGTTGACCACTTGTTCTGAATTTTGATGTAGTTTGGCTCTTTGGTTTGAAAAGGTTGCCGACCCCTGCTCTAAGGCATGGTTCTGAGGAGTGTTTTTGGATCTATTGTAAGTGGAGATAGCTCAGTGTAATTGACGTCCATTAAGATAGCTGTGGGTGCTAATGTCGATATTTCCCAAACCTGTAATCCTGGTACTGGGCCAGCTGGACAACATGCAGGAGTCTGGACTCACTGGCCAGTTTGAATCAGTCTGCCACACTGTCTCTCTTGGCACTGGCATATGCATACCTGCCAGCATGTTATGACTTGCCAACCTTGCTAATGTAGGGAGAATCCACAGAGACAGAAGTTGTGGAATCAAATTACAGATAATTGAGTGTTTAACGGAAGTGTCAAGTTAAATATAGCAAGCTCTGGAGAGAACTCTCAAAAGATTTATTAGCAGAATGCTTCGCAGCTGCAAAAAACATTGAGATGATACTCTTCGCAACTGTAAATGGCTTGTAGGAGGAAGGAAGGGGACAAGGAAAAGCAGGAATCCCATATTTCCAGTTGGTCCTGTTCAAAAGTCACATAAATGGGAGGATGTGATAGACTTCCTTTGTCTTAAAACTTGTCTGGAGACTTGTTTGTTAGCATCGAGTACATCTGCTATTGACAAAGAGACGTTAAAAGCTGGGATTTTCAAAAGCAACTCAGTGAGATAAGCAAAGCATCCAGTGAGAAGGGAGCAACTGTCTCCCTTAGCAGCATATGGAAATCTCACCCTAGAAGAGCTCCAAGGTAATTGTAAATATTGCACGTGACTTGATCACGGGCAGCACCAGAGCTGCTCAAACCAAATTCCCTCCTTGGTTTGACCCCATTGACTGCAGTGAGGTTATGTGAGGGACTCATTTGGCCAAGTTATGCTAGAAGTTAAATTGCTGTGCTGAAAGCCAAATCAAACGCACGTCCAGGAAGAGATGTGATCTAATCACACTGAGCTCTGCAGCTTAAAGATGAAAAAGAAAAGTGCTAATAGCTTAGAATAGGGGGTGGGGAGGGCCCTTAAATTTTGGTGCATGGTCACAGGCTGGCTCTACCCCTTGGACTAGCCTCTCCCCAGAATTGTCTGGGGCTGGAGACTTTGAATTAAAAACACAGCAAAGGGCTCAGAGCTCCTGGCCCCGCTGCCACCGTGTTGCCTGGCAGCCCCCCACGGTTACTGTGACTATTTAAAGGGCTCATGGCTCTGGCCTCCGCCAGGGCACTGCCGCAACTGGGAGCCGCAAGCCCTATAAATAGGATCCTGCTGCCTGAGCCACCAACCTGGAAATTCAGTGGCCTGGGCAGCAGGATATAAATAGAAAGTGGCCAGATGCAATTTGTGGGCCAGATCAAAGTGTTAGGTGGGCCAGATCCAGCCCTCAGGCTGCATCTTGCCCAGCATCACAGGCATGGTGTACATATACACACCAGCAAAACCATCACAGGACCTAACCACATCAGCCATACTGTCAATGATACATTCTCCTGCACATCTACCAACGTAATATATGCCATCATGTGCCAACAGTGCCCCACTGCTATATACATCGGCCAGACTGGACAGTCCCTGAGTAAAAGAATCAATGGACACAAATCTGATATCAGGAATGGCAACGTACAAAAACCTGTAGGGGAACACTTCAATCTCCCTGGACACACAATTGCAGATCTAAAGGTAGCCATCCTGCAGCAAAAAAACTTCAGGACCAGACTTCAAAGAGAAACTGCTGAGCTACAGTTCATCTTCAAGTTTGACACAATCCGCACAGGATTAAACAAAGACTGTGAATGGCTCGCTAACTACAAAAGCAGCTTCTGCTCTCTTGGAATTCACAC